CATGTGGGGAAAATAAAGTGTAATAGCCTTGTTAACATTTAAAATGCTCTCCCAATGAGTTTCATAATAGAAACCCTTGAACACCGAGAGAAAGAAAAAAAAAAAAAAAGGGGGAAAAAAAATTCCCATCAAAATAAGGCCCATTCATGCGTCAAACGGCCACCTGATTATATTAAAGACAGAAATATAAAAACTGCAAGATATAAAAGCTCTTGTCTGCGTCCACTGCTGAGCTCCTAATATTTGACTCGGAGCTGTATGGGAGTGGACGGAGGGGACGGCTGGCGCGAGCGCAACACTCGGGTGTACGGTGTGCCCGCCTCAGGCCTCTGGCGCGAGGGGAAGAACGAGCGGAAGAAGGGGCGCTTCTCAGGAGGCTGGTTCTCCACGTAAGCCACGCCGCAGCCCCTCTTCTTGCAGGAGCCGGACGCTGGCGGAGGAGGCTGGCTGTGCTGTAGCTGTGCCAGCAGCTCGTCTTTCTTGCGCAGGTCTGCTCTGACCAGCTGCAGGCTAGTGTGCAGCTCCACCAGCATCTGGTCCTGCAGACGGGAGGGAGAGGGCAGCCAACAGGGTTAGAGAGGCCACAGGGAACAGTTACATGGTTCATTTAGTTCTTCTGAAAGCACACAGATCAGATTAGAAAATCAGGCCAGGAACAATCAGAAACAAACGGCATGTTAGTAAAATAAGAGCAAGTAGTTTAGAGCAGTGTTTCTCAACCGGGGTGCTGTCTGTCAAGAGCAGGGGTGCCGTGTAAAAGAGTTAAAATGTTCATAAAAGCAGCTATTATATAATATCCATTTCTGATGTCACCAATAATTAGAGATGCACTGAAATTCCAGCTGCTGAAAAGGAGTTCACCGCTCAGGATTCACCTTCACGTGGTGTGACGCTCCATATGCGTGGGCTCTCCACTCAGTCGCTCACGGCTCAAGCTTCACTCGTATACCGTTCATGCTCATCAGAACAGCAATGTCCACTCAGAAATCCAGCTGACAGGACACATGGATGTAGTATAGTATGGTTTCGGTCTGCAATAGCTCTACTGTGCTGTAACAAGGTGTGGTATATGAGCAACTCTGGTAACGCTGCCCTCTCATTCATTGATCTGCTAACCATTATGCTCACGTGTCCTCTGATAATAATCGCTTTCTAGGATTAAACATTTGGATAATTGGTAAAAAGAATAAATAAACTCTTAATAGCCCTACTGTGTTAGACCTACCTGAAAAACTAAAAAGCTATTTATTTCATTTGTAGGCCTACCGTGATTTTTTATTTGTGCTATCATTAGTAATTTCTTTATTTGTTCTTATTTTATTATTAACCGCTTAGTCTCCTTGTCATTTTTTATTCAATTCAAAGTTTTAAATCAAGCTCTCTCATGCTACTGCATCAAAATTACCCAGCTGTAAAATCAAAAATACACCGAGTGAGCAAAACTGTTTAATTACCATTATAACTCAATGTTTACATATGAATAAAAGCCTACATTAAAATGTCATATACATTGGTCTCTTCATTAGAAATTAGCCTACTGATTGCCACCACTGATGGACTTTAATAATATCTGCATGACGTTATATTCTGCAGTTCTTCCCTGCTGTACCGAATCTTTAATTTTTTTAAGCATCATATCGAAGTTAGAAATTCAAACATTGAGACCATTAATTTTGTAGGGTGCCACAAATTTGTTAAAATTTCCAAAGGGTGCCGCG